CCCGGCCCAGGCCCAGGCCCAGGCCCAGGCCCAGGCCCGAACCCACAGACCCAGACCCAGGCCCAACAAAATGTGTAGGAAACATAAGAAATCACGGCGTTTAATCATTTAAAAGCATCTTTGTGAGCCAAAAGCAACAACAACAACAACAAAATAACTGAAGATAAAAACGAGTAGAATGTGAAATAAACGCGAAACCGATTGTTTAATACTCTGCGAACGCCCCTCTCTCTCTCTCTCTCTGCCACAGCATCTTTCAATTTTCTTGCATAATTCGTTGCTTTAACGGTTAGTGTAACGATTTCCAGCTACAGAAATTCCCATAAATACCCAACCTGGTGAAGAAGAAATGTTTGGTACTAAGATTGATTTCTGCATCAATTGGTCGACTGGCTAAAAATGCAGAATTCTATTGTAGCTATGATTAGAGTGCCATCATTTTCATATATAGTGTGGCCTTATAAAACATTTATTTATATATATAATATTTAATTTGGTAAAGATATATTTGTAAACAACAAAAGTTCTAAGTATAGTCAGAGTGTGCCGATTTTCATATGACTTCAGAGTTTAGTGTGGCACTAAAAATCATTTCTAAATATTTAATTTGGTACAGATATATTTTACAACAAAAAAAGTTGTACCTATTTATATAATTTCCAAATTAAACTTAATTTGGTTACGATATATTTAGAAACACAAAAAAAATTGATGCTAAGATTGATTTCCGCACTGATCTCTTCAGCTCCATAAAATAATATAACATTTTTCAGAGCTAAAATGTTTAATTATAAGCACGATATGCATATGCGTAAGACAAGTTCATGTGACAAGTGTGGTCCCCCTATCTAGTATGGCTCATCAGTTGTCGCTGTTCATACTGTCGAACAGACGAACGAACCTGTCTCCATCGACTCATGCTAGTCATACAAGTACGCATGCACTCGACCCTTTCGGGTATAGAGTATAGAACACGAGCAACGCACAAACACCAACAAACACAGCAACAGCATTAAGAACAAAACGGTGCGAAAGAACGTTAAAAAGCAGCAGCGGCCAAAAAGTTGCCGCATTGGGGCGTCCAGAAAAAGCAATGAAGAAAAAAGTTAACAAAAAAAAAGCAAAACGGCTAAAAGACAAGACAAGAGCCACAACAAAGAAAGTCTGCTCGATTTCTTATTGGTACGAGGCTTTTATAATCATTTTAAATACTCTGCAAAAAATGTCTATCTTATTCGGAAACAATTCAAAAAAGGGGCGGCCATATATTTAAATTCAAGATTTCAATTTAAAACCATATTAAGTATTTAGGGCTTACAAGTATAATGGCATTGAGTAGAGTCGGAGTTATCTATTATAAGTACTTTTTAAGGCATTTAGACGTTCAAAATTAATATTAAAATACATTTTTTTTTATAAAATAAATTTTAATGTATTCTTTTGTCTTAAAAGTTGCAGACTTGTCTCTATTAACTTCATGCGATTAATTTAAAAAAAAAGTAAAAAAAATATAAATCAATTGATATCTGAATAGAAGTAGTGTTGCTTTTAATTAGGGAAACATTCTGTTTATGACAACTTGCTTGCCAGTCTGACCATGCCTTAAGATTAAACAACAATTTTAATCAGATTTTAAGCAGACTTTAATCTAATCTCTCTTTATTCTGAAATATTGCTACGAAATTTGGGGACACACAAACATTTGACTACGCATTATTTAGTTCGATAATAAATCGAACTTAATTTGATTACAACTACCGATAGTTTGAGGAATCCATCCATATTATCGATCATCATTTCATTTTTTCAAAAAAATATAGTAATTCATTTTCTTTAAATCTATACCTGCCTAAATCTATTTCTATTGATAGTAACATATATAATCGACTATGCTTTTTTAATGAATATGTATATATTTTATATTATATAAAATAGCAATTTATTACTTTTTTTACACACAAAACAAATATTTTTAAGGTCTTGCACTAAAATTTTCGATATTCGCCATCGATGCTATCGATCATTGTTGATTTCAATAAATATAATATTAATAATAACTACATTTTTATGGTCTTACCTCTAAGGATAAAACGATCGACAGTCGCCAGAATCCGTTGAGACTATCGATCGTGATTTAGAAGTGCCTATTGATAGTCATCGATACTATCGATCATCGCTTTTTCAGCAAATACATATGTACTTTCAATAATACCACAAATTCACTTGTAACTTTTTTTATACATTATTGCTGTTATCGATAGTCCTTAAAATTCATTGAAACTATCGATAATAGTCTTTTTTTAAACCCATCCTATCAATCATCGTTTTGCATCACATTTTCCTAGTTTCCTAGTCATTCTATTCCCATGAGTGTGTATTTTCCTCTATCGGCAATGACAACTGTTGAGCCCACAAAATTATATTTCTGCTTAATGCGTGAGAATGTCCTTTTTGAAGCGGAAAACAGAAAGTTGTAAAGGGACTCACATCTTCGGGCAAGCCCAAGATAACATTTTGTTGTTGTATTTTGTTTAAATGCCAACAACGGCAAAAGTTGTTGAGGTGAGGTCCGGGACGGGTGGTTGGGCAATGGGGCTGAGGCTGAGGCTGCGGCTGAGCCTGTAGCTGAGGCTGAAGGTCTGAAAAGGTCCGTTGGTCTGACAGTCACGCATCGCCCAGCCAGCCAACCATCCAGTCAGCCAGCCAGCCAGCCAGCGATTGAGGTCAGAAAGGAAATGCGTCGCAATAGGCGCGTGGCCCACGCCCGGCAACAACAACAACAACAACAACAACAAGAATGGGATGCGCCCCAAGCTAAAAGTTACAATAACTTTTGCCGATGCTGCGTGTATCTGTATCTTTGTATCCGTATCTTTCCCGTTGCTGTTCGTTTTGCTTGGCTTTTTGGGCAGTCAGTGTCATTGCTACTTGAATGCATTTTAATTCGATTGAATATATATGTCTTCTTTGGACTTTTCTCTGCCTCATTCTTATACTTTTTCTTTTCTTTTCATTTCTTTTGGGGGCGCTCTCTTTTTTTTCTTATATGAAAATGTTTTATTTTTTTATGGCTGCTAACATTTTTTTTTGCAAGGCTAGGTAAAAAGTTGTTGCGTTTTAAACTTTGTTTTGTCGGCTTTTTTCTTATTTATTTATTTTTATTTTTTTTCAACATGGAACGAAGAAATTGAACTTGAACGAGTTTTTTAGTTCAAAGTTAAATACGAGTATTTTTTTCGGATCAAGGCAGACAGCATGGGTTGAGGTAGCAAAAAACTGGTCCAAATAAATCCACAAAATGTGCAATTAGACAGTAATCTGCGGTCCAAGTATGAGTCACGGCCAAGTTGTCGAACGGAAGTGCTCGCGAAATTCCATATTTGAAAGCTCACGAGTGTGGATTCGCCTTTCAAATCTTCGAACTACCATCACCATCACAGCTCGACAATCGATAATCGACACTCGACAAACGATAGGAATTTATGACAATGACGTTGCTTAATTTTGAGCTAGACCTTTGATTTTTGTTAATTGTTTTGACGGCGCTTCTGGCCCAAATATGAGCGCCCAAAAGCGACCACAGAAGCGAGAGCGGATGTTGAAGAAAAGTGAGCTTCCGTTCCTTCTTATTTTCCATTGGAATTTGTTGGCTGCTGTTCGATTCTGATTCTAATCTGATTATCAGTTGATTATAGTGGTATGCTGCTAACAAGACAGAATACAGAAGCTACCACATACTTCATTAAGAATGTCTAAAGATGCTTGAAGCAACTGTAACTGCTGCTCTGTAATTTAAATGAATAGATCACGGAATCCCTCTCAGAAGTAGAATGAAAAAATTCGAAAACGAAATATTTTACATGTTAATTAACAGCAAAGAACAAAAACTTGTTGTGCCCAATGATAAGTAGAATATATACAATTACTTAGCGGTATTCAACTTTAATATTCTTTGAAATGTAGGCGTTCAGACGGACAAACATATATCCTCATATTGTAAGCAGCTTCAAATACTTGAAATGTTTCTAAAACGAATATTAACTATCAACACACAACTCAACTGGGTGTTCATTTTTCAGTAAGAGAGCTGAAAGAATTTGACCCAAAAGTGGGTAAAATTATCTATAAAGTTTAAAAAGAATCAGGTTTTCTCAGCACTCTACTATGGTTGAGCTAACCGTAAGTTTTTTATGCAAAAACTAATTCCTTGCTAGGTGGCTCTACATTGATTTTGAATTTTAAAATGTAGTCTAAATATTATTAATAAATTGAACTACAAATTGAGAATAATTGAAGAGTAATTTTAAATATACGAGTATATACTTGTAGTATTAACTGGAAGTTCCATGAGTAAACTATATTAAGGACCCACAAATTTGAGGGCTAAATTGGCTTTAGAAATCAATTTTTAATTTTGAACCAAACTGGCGAATTTTTAGAGTTAACTTTATTAATGTGTCGTCATACATATTTAAGGGCGAACAAACAATCAAACAGATATACATACTTGTAGTTATTAACGAGTTGAGGAGCAACTAAAATTCATTGTAAAGACAAATTCTGCGGGCAAATTTCGTTTCAAAGCCGTGACACTCATTTGAGGGCGAACTTGTGGCAAATAGTTGCTATGCTATCAATTTTTAAAATAATTAAAATGGCAATATACTTGTACACACTTTTATTTATAGTTATTCGAATTTTTTGCAATGTTCTTCCAAAATATTGACATCTTTACGCAAAGTTTCAAGTTTCTCTGCACGAATATTATAAATGTAGTTATGGAAGAGATGAGAATTGTTGGTAGAATGAGTTTCCTACAAAGTTAAGCAACCGCTTCGTTTAGCCTTTTCTTATCTTTGCCTCTGCTGCGAAGTTTTCTACCGAAAGCTTTGGGGGCGTGCTCAAGCACTTTGGTTTCTGTTTTTTTGTTTTTTATTTCATTTTTTTGGCCATATACTTGTACTTGTATTTAATGCCGCCTTGTTCGTTTCATTTTTCAGTTGCATTCGCAGTTGTAAACAACTTACAAACTTAGTGACTGGCGGCGCGCATCTTGTGGATGCACATAAACAACAGCTGCTACGCAACAGAATCAGTCAAAAATCGGCACAGCAGCGGAATAAAGGAGCAGCAAAGGTAAGTGGAGAGTGAAAATCCAAGGAGGAGAAGCAGAACAACAACAACTACAAATCGAGTGGAAGAGAAAAGAACAGCAACTGCAATATTTTTGTTATACAACTTGTGGGCAGTTGTTTGCCACCTGTTGTCAACCCGAGGTTGAGGCTGTGGGGATGCGCTGCAGATGCTAATGGGGAGTGCGAGTGCGAGTGGGAATGGGAGTGGGAGGTGAGGGGAACATCATTTTCTCGCTATTGTATCTGCGGCTATGGCTGTGGCTACGGCTTTGTTTGCCCGCCGGCGCTTCAGTGTATCTAATGGCTAAGCACACGTCAAAGTGAGCGCAAAAGTTTGAGAATACATTTCTGTTCCTAGTCGTTTTTCTTGCTTGCTTGCTTACTTGCCTGCCTTGCCTTGTCCTCAGCGCCACCGTTGCTGCTCTACAGCGAAGCCTCGCTATAAGAGAAAAGTGCAAGCAAGCAGAAGTTGAACTTTAAAACGGTTGCGCGAAATAGGTCTCTGTGACTGGATTATTTCAGACGATTCCAGGACAGTAGTATCTTTGAAAATTCCAAATCATACTTAAGAGAACCCATGAAAGGTTCTCCATTTGGAGTTTAAGCAATGTGGGTTCACCCGTTTTCGAAATACAGCCGTTCATACAGACGGACAATCAAACGGCTTCTCTTTAATCGAGTTCAAGATAAGTTTTGCAAAGAATGATTTTCCGGATCTTTAAGAAGTTCTACATAGTCCTAAGACTTCTTTTTAAGTTTTTAGCAGCAATACAATGATCTAAGCATTCATTCATTCACAAACCCTCAAATTACCAAATTTATGGATTGGAATGTTAAAAATATTTCCTTATGTATAAAAAAGCGTTGCTTGTTGTAAAATAATTGTTATGAGAATTTTTTCAACAGTAATTCATTTTATCGAAAAAAAAAGGAATTATATTTTAGACAAGAATGCTCTCTAGAGAAGTTATAGTTTTGTTATAGAAAAATTCCTAATGGAGATGAAATTTATAAAAGAGATCATCGTATTGGGGAACAATTAAGTTTTGTAAAAAAAATTTTCTGTTAATATTAATAGTTTTAATAGAATGTCTTCTAATAGAAAAGAGAAGTCGTCCGAGAAGCAGTTTATTGAAAATAAATTCCTTTCAGAGATGAATGAAGATCTCTGGGAAAGTGATCTGTTTGAAATAGTATGAGAAAAAGATGCTGTTAAATTTATTATAAAAAACATCTAATAGAGAAGAAAAGTGTTCTACGATCATAGAATAAATGTTCGAGGGAAAGTTTATTGAAAATAAATTCGTTTGAATCTCTCTGGGGAAGTGCGCTCTTTTGCTTTCAAATTTCTGAAAAAAAAAAACTCATAGTAGCGTAGAAATGTGCTTCTTCTTGTGTTCTGTTTTAGAATAGTTCTACGAGAAGAAGCTGACTGAAGTGGGATTCGTTTTAGGGGAGCAAGATGGCTCTCAAATGGGGAAAAATGTGTGCACTTTTTATACCCTGTACCCAAAGGGTACAAGGGTATATTAGTTTAGTGCGAGTGCACATGGAACACACAGAAGGAGGCTTGGTAGACCCCACAAAGTATATATATTCTTGATCAGCATGACAAGCCGAGTCGATATAGCCATGTCCGTCTGTCCGTCTGTCCGTCTGTCTGTCCGTCTGTCTGTCTGTATGAACGCAAGGATCTCCGAAAGTATAAGAGCTAGAATAACCCAACTTGGTATACAGATTCTCCTGAGACCGAGAAAGGACGAGTTTGTTCATTTTTTCTGATCCACCCCCCCACTCCCCCCCTATTAACGATTTTCTATAACTCCCGTAATTCTTGGAATTTTGAACTAAAATTTGGTAGTCACATTAGGTTAGTAATTATATAACCGTATACCAAGTCTCATTATGATATAATGATCGGAAGGAAAGTTATAGCCATATAACCAGGCTCAATGCACACATACATACATATGTACAAGTACACAAACACGCATAGACACGATTCTGATGTAATTGTAAATGTATGTATGCATGCATGGAATATTTTATATTTAATTAGTTAATATTTAGTTAATTAATTAAATTAATTAAGTTAATTAATTTAATTAAATTAATTAATTAATTTAATTACTTTTTTGTGGGGTGGTACAGGGTATTTAAGAGTTGAGCCTGCTCGACTTTAGCATTCCTTTCTTGTTAGTTTTTATTCTACAGGATGGATAGTTCGTTAAGTAGATATTTGACGCTACTTCCTTGGCTGTGGCGCTAATGTTGTAAGTTGTTGTTGTTGTTGTTGTAGTGGTAGGTAAGTAGTTGTTGGCTCGGCAAGAAGCAGCCGTTTGCTCGACTTGTTTGGCTTGCTGGTGGTTGCTGCTGCTGCTGGCTGCTGCCGCTGCTGTTCGTTGTATCTTTAAGATACTTTTGTGTTCTTTGCCAGCCAGCACGCCTTGGTATCTGTAAGTGCGCTGTATCTGTATCTTTGGCAAGTACATTTTAAACGCTGCATTTTACGCTTTACTCGAACGCTGCGCCACAACTTTTGCCAATTCGCTGGCTGTTGTTGTTGCTGTTGTTATTTAGGTAGCTGCTGCAGCTGTTTTTTCTGCCCCTGCCTCTGCCTCTGCCTCCGACTCTGCTTCTGCTTCTTCTTTTTGGTTTTCGTTTTGTTATTTATTTTTTTGTTGATTATTTTTATTCGTATCTTTTGGCGCTGCAATTTCGTCTTTTGTCTTGGGCGCTGCCTTGCCTTGCCTTGTCTTGTCTTGTCTGCTTCAAGCTGGCTTCAAGCAACTTAAAGCTGCCTATTGATTTTCACAGTTGCTGGCCACAACAACAACAACAACAACAACAGCAACAACAACAACAATAAATCAGCACTGATATTGAAAACCAAGACAGAAAATGTAACGTGAAACGCCAAGTGAGGCGCGCACGCCACGAAAAACTCAACGATTTGTCTTTTCCTCATTTTGTTGTTACTACTACCTACTACGACTATTGTTGTTGTTCTTGTTGTCGTTGTTGTAGTTCTTGGACTGCTTGGGTCATACACTCTTGTTGTTGTTGTTGCTGTTGCTGTTGCTATTATTGTTGTTGGGGCCAGCGGGCTTAGATTTCAACCGCGGCAACAGCAACGCCGTAGTCATTAATTATTTATTTTGATTTCATTATAAATACCAACCAGCCAGCAACAACAACAACAACAGCCAACCAATAAAAAGACAACAAATTACTTTGATTTCGTTTTGAATGAGCTTCCACAGTCGCTGCCCCACCACCCCAGTGTCCCACCGTCTTTCTCTGCTTGAATCTCTCATCGACTTGAATTTTCATTGTTTGCCAAGCTTATTGTTGTTGTTGTTGTTGTTCTTATTATTATTGTTGTTTACAGCATATTGTTAAAATTACTTACATTAAAGCTTCATTGCGCACCCTCTTGGAAGATACAAGTATATACATACAAGTATATACAAGTATTTGTTACACATTTGCATATCAAACATAGAGACAGACAGACATATCTGACATTTTCCAGAAAACAAAAACAACAAAATAGTGACTCTAGCTGGAAAAATGCTATAAAGCCAAGCTGACTGGCTGCCTGTCTGCCTAGCTGCCTAGCTGCCCAGCTGCCTGACTGGCATACACGTATTGAAATAAAGGTCAGCAGAAAATGCAAAAGTCTAAAATTTTGTATTACAATCGACAAATTACAAAATCGATGGGCTTTTAAAGCTGCTAAAGGGAAGACAAAAGCCCAATTCGATTACACATGCAATTGTTTGTGAAAGTTTTACGATTGCATACAAGTATAAACTACAATAATGATTCAATCCCTTCGATCCATTCAACCAAATATTGGCAGCAAAGGCTTCGAACTTGCTTCAGAAATTCGACTAAACATTCAATTCCTATCGACCTTTTTATACAGTTTTCAATTATATACATACTCGTATATAATATGATATTATGAATAGAGCTAGATTCGATCTCGTCAATCATCCAAGTATAATAAAAGAAGACTTTGTAACTCTTATTATACAAATTCCAGTTCAATTGCTTTTGTATTTTTAAAATAGTTTGAACACTTTTCAATCTATCAGTCCGTTAGTCTGTTCGTCTGTTCGACTGTATGAAGCCCAAGAACTCTTGAACTAGTTTATTATAATCATATAATGGAAGAAGGTCTTGTAATTCTAATTATACAAATTCTAGTTCAATTGCTTTTGTATTTTTAAAATAGTTTGAACACTTTTCAATCTATCAGTCCATTAGTCTGTTCGTCTGTTCGACTGTATGAAGCCCAAGAACTCTTGAACTAGTTTATTATAATCATATAATGGAAGAAGGTCTTGTAATTCTAATTATACAAATTCCAGTTCAATTGCTTTTGTATTTTTAAAATAGTTTGAACACTTTTCAATCTATCAGTCCGTTAGTCTGTTCGTCTGTTCGACTGTATGAAGCCCAAGAACTCTTGAATTATTTTAGCTACAACCACCAAACATGTTATATACTATACATATGTACGTAAGCTTGTATAATAAAAAAGCAAAGCCAGTTTTCTAGAGCTGCCATAGGACCTATTGGTAGAAGTATCATTGTCATTAGGATAACTTTTGGTTCGTAAAGATAAAATCACTGCACTACACCATATAGCTGTCATTGGAATGATGCACTTCGAATGCATGAATATAAAACTAAAATCTCTTAATATACAATTGTTATTTGAGAGCCTCATACGGGCTATTGGGAGCTAGTCTTACATATTAATACATAACTGACACACAGTTACTTTTGACATTAAAAAATAGCTTCTCCAGATGTCGAAGGTAGCTGTGAATGATGAGCTAAAGGGTGTGATAAGAAACCTGAAAACATATCGTGGGCAGCTCTCACCTCGAACTCCACATTTTTGCTGCTCTGCTTCGCGTATACGAATGGATCAGATAACCAAGTCTCGAAACTGGTTTTATTCTTATCATTTAAATTGATTCGAGC